AAAACAAAAGATATGAACTTTTCAGGTTATTTTTCAAGCAACCCATAAAGATACATTTCAAAGCTGTTTGGATTGAGCTTTTGAAACTTCTACAGTTTTGGTTGCTATAATGCAACAACGAGATATGGATAATAATAATAATAATAAATAAAGAATTGAAACGAACACAACTGTAAATAAAAGAAACGAAGGAAATCTTTTATTGACAATTCTTCAAAGCATGCATATATAAAAATATTCAACTGTTGTTTACATGTAGAAATTTATACAATTTATGAATTATAGCATTTCTTCCTTTTCTTATAGCTCTGACAATAGCGCCACATTTACTTTAAAGTTTTAAAACAAATATTTTAAATTTAATTATGTTCTTCTTAGTTGCATGAAAAATAATAAGAAGAATGTTAAATGACCAATGCAACTATTAAATGATTCGGTTTTAGTTGAATTTATCGATAAGCGCCATATATGAAACTTTCAATTTGATTAATTAAAGTTTCTTGGAATATGTTTTGCAGCTTTTTTTGCTGTTGAAATTGACAGGAAAAGATTAATGGATTTCCGGAACAGATATCGGAGTGGAAAAATTGTTATCATTGAATATTCTGTTCAAAAATAAGCAACGACTTATTATTCTTTATGACATAAGAATTTATGGCATTTGGGATTTAAATTTTCATTAGATTCATTTAACGTGAAACTGGTATTCTGATTGGTTTTAACGGTTTTTGGAATTTTTGAATTTTGTTCAGGTTGGTATGTTCTGGATTGTGTGATACTTCTGTGTTTGAGATGTTTCGGTTGAGCTTCCGCGATTCAGTTGAATGATACTTCCGCCGTGCTTCATATAAAGTGGTTTTTCAGATGAAAGGACAAAGAAAGCAATTCGGTACACGTTATTTGAACGATGAATTGGAAGTATTTAAATACAATGCATGGGATAATGTGGAATGGAAATTTGAACAGGAAGAAGAAGCACGTAACCAGATAGCTAACCAAAAAAAATCACCTGTTGCATCTCAGGAAGCTGAATATTTGCTGCAAAATCCTGCTGAACAGTGGGATACATTTTACCGAACACACAGGAGTAAATTTTTTATGGACCGTAATTGGCTGCTAACCGAATTTCCTGAATTAAATGTTGAATGTCGAGTAAGTTAATATTTTATACTTATTAGCTATAATTTACTGAAGTTTGATTGCACATATTAATTAAAGTTGAATTTCATGTATGATTTGACCAAATATTGTCATTTCGAAACGTAAACGAAATAATAAAAACGACATAGGTATTTGAAGTGATATCTTTTGTTCTTTCGAATAAAGTTTGATGCTAAAACATAAATGCATACAATAAAATAACAGATAGTTGTAATAGTCTTGTACTGCCAGCTCTATTTTAAGAAATGTGAAGTGATATAAGCACATAGCGATGTTAGGATGAGTTTTCCTGCTGTTGGAGAGGAGTGGGAAAGCGGTAGGAAATGCTAAGGGCGTTGCTTATACTTTTCAAGTTCTACCCATCAATTATTCCTGAGAATCTACTTATTGTATACTGTTGCAGAAATCAGATGATCCACTTTACGTTTTGGATGTTGGATGTGGCGCCGGCAATGCCACGATACCGTTGTTGCAAGCATCTGAACAATCTGGAAAAATGTTTGTTTATGCTTGCGATTATTCACTGCAGGCTATGGATATTCTGAAGCAGGATACGGTACAGTGGTCCGATAGGTGTAAACCGTTTGTATGGGACATTACGGGACAAATAACAGAAATTGTACCTGTGGGATCCCTCGACATAGTCCTTTGTATTTATGTACTCTCGGCAATCCCACCAGAAAAGCAGCAACAGACAGTTGATAATTTAGCCAGGTAAGCTGGTATATTAAAAAGTTGTTCTATTATTTTCCGTGTGCTTGAAACGGAAATGACATTTATCCCCTCTTTACGTAATATTTATTATCTAAAATTCAAAAAACTGTAGATTAGATATTTCTTTCTCGCCATGAAAAAAGCAAAGTCTGTTTTGATCGAGCTAAATTGTAATATTTTATTTGAAAGATCTGATAATACACTATGCTAAACTTTTAAAGCTTATTTACATTATTTAAAACATGGATAATTTTTTAATGATATGACCTTAATGGTTTCCTGTTTGTTAACCTGAAATGATTTCAGTTTGCTGAAACCAGGTGGTGTATTATTATTGAAGGATTACGCACAGTTTGATATGACGCAATTGAGGTTTAAGAAGAACCGTTTAATAGACGAAAATTTTTATCGTCGTGGTGATGGAACTCTGGTTTATTTCTTCAGCCAGGATGAACTGGATAGGTTATTTACTGAAGCTGGTTTGGAAAAAGAAATTAATGTTTTGGATCGACGATTAATAGTAAATAGAGCTAAAAGAGTGAAAATGTACCGCATGTGGGTGCAATGTAAATATGTGAAAAGTGCTTTGTTATGACTTAATTTCTGTGATAAGTAGGACATATATATGTTCTTCATTTGCGAAGTCAGTTTACTTTTATAGAAGTAGATAAGGGATAGTATTATTAAGAGCGGCGCGAAATTAATCATCTACAAGTTTCGAATGTGATCACACTTACTGATCAAATTTTTGAAGGGAATTGCGTTTCTGATAGGCCAGTTATAAAGTTTTGTATATTTTTCACATTTCCCGACATGTTTTGCCCTTTTCTCTTTTGAAATAAAAAGGATCATCGAAATAATGAGCTTCCTATCTGCCGTTCCGCTTTGCAACATTATCTTTCGAGTAACCGGTGCAGTCTCTGTCGATCGACCCACTTTACCAGCTCTTCTTGGTGATGGAGCAGTGAAGGCCGTAAACTGGAAGAGAAAGAAGGAAACAATTGAAAGATGGAATATACAATGCAACATTAGGGGTTTAATGGAATAAATTGATGGCTGAAGTTTTGAAATCAGTTCTCCCTTTTTGCTGACTTCATTTATTTATGTATATTAGAAGTATGATGGGGTATTTATTTTAAATTTATTTAAAGCAAACTATAAAAGAATTGTCGTCTCATCCGATTAAATATGAATTCTGACCAGTTCATGATCTAAGCAAAATATTTAATAACAAGAAATAGACAGTTTTCCGAGGAATTTATCATATCAGTACAAGAATATTACCGGATAACACGGATTTGTGCAAAGTGCCCTTGCCAAATTCATGAAATGAGAAGTTCGTCAAATGATTCATGTCAATTTTATCCATTATATCAATTCCTAACACTAAATACTCTCTTTTTAATAGAAAATTTTTGAGAGTGAAATCATCAGTTTTTACTGAATTTCGAACTCATGTGGCATCATCATTTCTCCAGCGAAATTGAAAATATAAGGCAACAAAAGTGAGAGGTGGGATGATCGGGAAGCTAAATAGCGAGATCGAAAAGCGACAATATTGAAATTAAAAACCAGTATGACTTAAATAACAGTCATAAATTTTCGGCCATGTCGATGTAGCGTTTTCATGGCAGTAACCGTTAAACGTAAACGTAAGCGACGTTAAAACCTTAACTTTTTATGCTCCAATCACCTGTGTTTTTTGGTTGTGAGTTCATCTTTGGTTAAGCTAACCCATTTTGTTTAATTTTTGAAAGCTTTCAATAGATATATTCTATCGTAGTATAACAAAATCCCTTACCATCTCTTCATGGCACATCTATTAGTTTATCATTGTTCAAAATGTTATGCGAAAATACAATTTGGTTGCAGCGATGCGAGCTGATAAAATGTAATAAGGATTGTGTGTTGGAGAAAAGTACATCCTAGCAACTTTAAAGCAAGCGAAATGTATTAGATCAATAACAATATTATAATACAAGAGAAATCAATCATCACAAAAACTGATCGCTCTGACGATCAGGATGAGATTCGAACTCACGCGGGGAAACCCCAATGGATTAGCAGTCCATCGCCTTAACCACTCGGCCACCTGATCGATGCATCAGTCGATGCATAAAATTTTGGAAGCATTTATTGAAATTATTATTGATCAACTAAATATTATTCGATCTCATCAACGATTAACTAACGAACTATTGTTGTTTAATCTTGCTATCGAACATCCCGAGACTTCTCAGAATTTTGCTACCCAAATTGCGAACTCCAATAAACTTTATATCCTAAATGTTATCGCATTCATCAATATTTGACCTCCTATTCTTTTATTGATTTCTCCTTCTCATTTTTAACCTTTATATTTTATCAGAACATAATCCTTCATTTTTACAATTTGACCAAAAGAAAGTTTACATATAAACAATAATAAATCGTTGGATTAAATTTGTTTGTTACTTTTTGTTTTCTTTGAAATTTGTTTACTTTTCTTTTTCTTTTGTTTAATGAATTATTTGAAATTTGTTTATTTATTTGACAAAAAATTATTTAAATTTTATTTCATTTCGCATTTTTCATTTGATTTCTAAGAATTAAAAACAAATTAGTGACAGTTTTAGGGTAAAAATTTGTGAAATATTTCAAAAGTACAAAAATATTTATATTTTCGAAATACTTGTTGACAGTTTTCTTTTGTCTTTTCAAATTAAATGACATGCATAATTTGATTGATCGTTCAATTTTGTTCACTATTTGTTTTCTCATTGCAATAGATAGATATGCCTGTCATTTATCATTTTCATTAAGAACGAATATCAATTCCTTCCTATCATATCTGATTAATAATGGTTGTTATCATTATGTTATCACACAATGAATGAAATGAATTAGAATATATTCATTCTCTTGTAATAAATCTTTTGACTACTTTCTATCATATATTCTTTTATCATTTAATTTTCTATTTTCTTAGTTAGTTTCTTTTAATTTGAAAATGAAAATAATTGGCATTGTCTTTTCGATACACTTCAAAATTTCTGCAATTTCAATTCTTCAAAAAAATACATTAACAAAGTAAATTTTATAGTAATAATTTTAGATGTAAAATTTTTAAAAGGAAACAAATAAATTTTAATTAATTATAAATTTTCATTAATTTCAAAATTTCAAAATTTTTTCAAAAAATTTTCGAATTTCACCGTAAAAATTCACAGCTAATTCATTTCCTACTGATTTGTGATACTCTTTCAAACGATGATAATATCGAATATATTCTCTCAAACATTGCTTTGTATTATATAATTATATAAACTATTATATTATATAATTTATAATTAACTTAATAAATTTTCATATAATTTCAAAGAAATGCTTAAAATTTAAATCTAAAAATTACGGTGAAATTTGAATAAAATCTAATGAATGATATGCAATATGTGTGATATATTTATAAAATTTAGATATCACAAAAGAAAAAAAGTTATACAACAATTATTTTATGGAATTCTCGGGAATGATTCTTAGTGTAATTGATGAATCGATCAATATTTCTACCAGGATATTTTCCTTTTTCGATGAAATTTAATAAAATCTACGATTTGTAATATATGTGATATATTTATAAAATCAGATGAAAACAAAAAAAAAAAAGACATATAACAATTATTTCACAGAATTCTCGGGAATGATTCTTAGTGTAATTGATGAATCGATCAATATTTCTATCAGTGGTAAACATTTTCCCTTTTTAAATTCTATTCCGGTATTTTCATTTAATAAATTCTATTTTGAAAATAAATTAAAAGGAAAAAAGTTTATTCATACCTAATCAATAATTAGAGGCTAAAATGTATATTCATTGAAAAATTTTCCCGTTCATTATATTAATGGCTTTCATAGAAATGTTCGCATGAATGATAAATTATCAAATGGAATGTTTATTTGATCATTTAATAAATAATCTGGTTTAATCAATCAATTTATTTGATCATATAATTTTTAATCAAAATTTTTAATTTTATGATTCAAATTAATTACCAATTTCCGGTTTAATAAAATGTCTGATTAACCTGTTTTAAATTTTACCTATACCAAATGTATAATTCTTACGGAATATTACTATTTCCAGTATACGTTGAAGTAATCTGCAAATTTAAATAAACAATAAATCGTTAATTAGAAGAATAAATTATTTTAAATTTTATCTAATAAATAAAAAAATCTTATTTTAATTATTTTAATTAGAAGTTATTTTCATATATTGTTTTAATTTTTCCATCATAAAAATTTATTTATTTTTTGCTTCATATATCATGAAAGTATAATTCATTCATTATTTATGCTAAATTTAAGAAAAAAATTTCTAAGAGAAACTATTTGATAAATGATATCTATTTCTGATAAAGTGATAAAGAGATTCAGATGATATCGATATTGCTGTATTCCTAGCACTTCAGAAAAAAAGTTCGAAGAAAAATAAATGATATCTGCTTCTGATAAAGTGATAAAGAAATTCAGATGATATCGTTATTGCTGTATTCCTACTACAACATAAATACAATATTCAATTTTCAATGCAACTGATAGTGAAATTTTTATCATATCTAATAGTTACAACAACAATTTCAAAAATTACAAATTCTTCTTTTGGTTGAAAAGAATAATAATAAAAGAGAAATTACATAAATTTACTATTGCACAAAATTACATTTAAGAATACAACGTTATAAATTTACAAGAAATTAAATGATAATTAAGCACGTAGCACATTTATTGTTATAATATAATTGCATAATTTATTGACAGCATAAAATAGTTTAAAGTTTGAAATAGTTTTAAATAGGAAAGAAAATCTAACCGAGTTCGAGTGAAAAAGGCTCGAAGAGTACAAAGAATCTGAAGGCGCTAAAAGAAACTAGAAAGAATTTATCGAAAATTCTTTGAAATGATGAAAGAAAATAAATGAGATCATAGGAAGAGCATGGATTCTGAAACTTCAAAATAACCATTTAAAGAAAAAACATATATAAATTAGGAAAGAATTATAAAATTAAGAAGCATTTGAAATTGAAAGATTTTATACCGTATCCTATATTTCATTCATGAAATAAATATTTCAATTGAATTTTTGATAGTTTAAATAAAATTACGAAATGTTAATGATAGAAAGTGAACTGAATTGCTCGAATAAAATTTCTTTTAGAATTTCTCTTAGAGAATTTCTCTTAGAACTCTTAGAATTATTGTATCGAACAAAAAAACAATGACATTATTTTACAATGGCTGGTATCATTTATAATTTATTAAAAATTAGCTGTCATTAAATTAAACAAAAATTTATAATTAGCTATAATTATCAAATAGATTTCATTTTTCTTTTTTGTTCAATGAAACTTATATTTTGGCAGAAATTCGAAATTAACTTTACATTAATTACAAATTGAGCGAAAGAAATTTTGGTTTTGTTAAAGTGAAATAAATAAATAAATAAAAATTAGCGTTGAAAAATAAAATTGCATAAAACTACAAAGAAGGAAATTATCAGATAAAGATATATGATTTTTCATAGTAAGATAAATTAGCTATCAGTAAATTAAACAAAAAGAAAATTCTTTTTAGATTCTTTTTATTTTTAAGATTAAATTATTTTCGAACAATTTCAAATTTTTCTATCAAATTTTATCGATCAATTGAATGTCTTAAAAGTTCAAAATAAATATTTAGCTTAATGCTGTCAATTAATAGCAATTTTCTTTTGTTAGCAAAATTGAATATTTATTATAAATTAAGCGAAAAAAAAGGAAAATAAATAGAGGAATTAAGGAAGAGCTCGAACTCAGATAGATTTGAATTAGAAAATAATTTCATCTAAAATCGGTTAGATATAATTGATAATCAAAGAACTGATAGATAGAAAATAATATACTAGACAATAAAAAAATAGAGAAATACATAATGTGTACAAATTGATTATTCAATTATAATATTTTGCATAAGAATTTATGCATTTTGTATTCTTAGAGCATATTTCAAAATGTGGAATATAAGCGAAAAAATGCAAGCTATCATTTAAATTAAATCATTCATTTCATTGAACTTAATAACAATTTATGTAAATGATTTAAAAAAGTAAACTTAATAACAATTTATGCAAATGATTTAAAAAATTTTCTGAAAAGTTCAATTAAATTCGATTAATTTCATTCAATTCAATTCAATTCAATTCAATTCAATTCAATTCAATTAAATTTTATGGTAGCAAATATTTTCTTTTGAATATTCCGGCATTTTTTTGTCATTTTGAAATTTTCAAATTGATAAAATTTTATTGTCTGTTTTAAAAATAGACAGAATTTTTATGATTTAGAGTTCTTACTGAAATAAGTGATAAAAGCGATAAAAAGTAGGCAAGCAATAGCTAATATAGCACTAAATAAGATGATAAGTAAAATATCATGTGATGCAATACAAAAGGTACCCTTAGATTGATAATGTAATGGTATAAATGATTGATCGGTTATCGCTGGTAATCGATTTTTAATTGATAAGCTTGAATCCTAAAATATGGTATCATATGTAGTATAGTTTATAATGATTGCATCGAAGATGTAAATTCGACATGTTTGCTAACAAATTATTTTAATCCGTTAAAACAAACCTTTTCACTTATATCAATTGTGCTAAAACCGACACTAACATCCACTGTATTGTCATAATTAACTGAACGTTTCTTGAGCAATCGAGGAGAAAGAGCTGAAGCTTCTGGTGATGGTGCAGCAGCAGATTTTAATGCACCAAATCCTTGTGGTTCTGAGCATTGTGGTCGTTGACAATTACCACCTGGTTCTTTAATTGTTATACTAATCTGGCATTGATAATAAAGCTCCGATCGATCAGCATATTTGTAAACATGAGCCTCTTGACCAGCCGTTAAATCTACAAAATTATCAAGTTTCCAATATTAAAAATTATTCTTTGAAATATTTACAATTGCTACAGTATTCAATTAAATTTATCTATTATTGTTTACCTGTAGGATATTCCAAATTGTTGAGTAAATACTTATCCAATGCACAACCGTCGCTATCCAAAATCTCTACTGTATCACCTTTTCCATCATCCACAGTACAGGAATGTACCAATGCACAGAATGTATCGGTAGTTTCCGAATCACAAGTCCATTTATGATAAACATGATCACCGACCAATGCATATTTGACAGGTGCACCAGATGGCCCATCTTCCAGAATCTTTAAACATCCTTTTTTAGAAACTGAAAATTGTTTTTTTAATATTATCTTCAAAAAATATATTTTGTCAAAGTTTCAAACCTCATATCGACAAACAGGCATTGGTACCACCTGCGTCTGGAATGCTGTAGTCATACCGGATACTTCAATTTGTGTACTGACAGTCTTGTCAGATTCCATATAAAAACATTGTATACGATATGCTCGATCTATTTTGGTAAGAAATTTCGGATGAAATGTTATAACAATTACAGTTGTTACAAAAACACCTCGAGGATTTAACGATCGTGATCGTTCAACATTGCATGAATCAATCGGTATTTCAATTCCAGCTACCTGAAAATACAACTTTATCTAACAAAGTTCTAATATCTTTGTACTGATATATATTGAAATAGCATCAGTTATTCAGTTGTATTTGCTTCTTATCAATCTTATGCCTATTCCATAAAATCCGAATAAAATAAAGATTTAAGTTTGAAATCTGAATTTTCAAAAAATTTTATTTAATAAGATAATTCGGCAAAAAGAAAAAATCATTTAAATAAAACGAAATATAGCAGCATTTGCAACAATTTTTTCTTATCACAGAAATAGAAAAGATCATGAGATATTTTAATTATCAGTCATTAAATTAATTATAATTCTTAGTAAGAAAAATATGACCTATTACTTTCATTATTGATTGCACATAATTAAATGAATGTAGAAAAAAAAAGAGCTGTAACTTTCTCCTAAAGTATGAAAAATAATTATAATGATAATGATAACAGTAATCATAATAATGATATGATAATGATAACAGTAATCATAACAAACTTAAACGATCATATTCAAAATGATAGTAGTGACAGCTATAATAGTTTTAATAGTGGTTACAGTGATAACAATGATAACGATACTATAATAATACTTCTATTATCTCTTCTATTTTATTACTTTAAAATTTAAATCAAAAAAAAAACTAACTCTACACAATATTATAGACATATATTGAATAAAAAATTTTCAAGCTAATTAGTCAATTAAAATAAATTAAATTTAATAAAAATATTTCCTTCTTCATAAGCCTTATTATCATTAATGAATTTTAATTAAAATTTATTTCGAATTTGCTCATAATATTAAGTATTTGAGTTTCCAATAGTTTACAAATACATAATCAAACAAATGAATCGATCATAACAAAATCCTAAATTAATAAATTATGATAAAGTAGTATGAAGATTATATAATTTTTTTAGTTTAGAAATAATTTATCAAAATTTTTGAAAAAAAAATCTATCAAACCTGTCGTCCATTACCATCTGAACGACATTCTTCGTGATCATAGAGACCTTTGACATATACATGTCCATCAAATTGATTTCTTGTATTGAAATTAACTGTTAGAACAGTAGAGCCACATTCTATTTCGGGTTCACCATCAACACCATTATCAATTGGTATGGATAATATGGAATCGAAGTGAAAAAATATGAATAGCAAGGAGAATAGTGATAATGGCATATGAATGATTATTACTGATGATGACATTATCAGTAATAATGGTGATAATATCAATGATAATAATTATTGATATTAGTAGAAGAAATAACAGTACTAAGAATATTATGTGCTAGTAGCAGCAGTTCAATGATATCAAATCGCGCTATATATACAATAATCTTAAATGCTATATTATCTTTGTTACTTCTAAAATCGTAGAAGTAATAATGATAATAATAACAGTGATAATATATATATATATAGATTTTTGTTAAACGTATTATCAGATAAAACGGATAAGAAATGATTGCTGCGTACGGGGATATTTCTTTTTATATAATAAGCATATTGGGCGTACTCTTAATACACTCTGAGCATCGAGAAGATCTTCGCCGATTTTCCCTTTTTCAATAGAAATATAGCGATGAAGACGGAGGTCATCGTTATCCTGTTTTTCAAAATATGCAGAGATTGAAAAGTACCAATGTAATCATCTCCTTTTCAATCCATAGAAAAAGGTGGAGTTTTCGATGATGAAATAGTGAAGAGATAAGAAGAGAAATGAGAAATTGTTGAACTGGATATTATTAAAATCAGGATTCTTAATTTCTATCAAACTTTTCTACGAAAGGAAATTTGAAAAAGATAATGATGGCATTTTGTTATTATCTTAACAATGATAAGAAAAATGAACTTTTTTCTTTTGATCATTTTACGACAACAACAAAACAAAAAAACAACGATTCATTAATTTGTTGTTTAAATTAATTGGTTTACAATTTTTACAAATAATTTTCCCATTCTTTCGCTCTTTCAATAATTCGTAAGATTAGATGCTTATTGATAAAAATACAAGTTATAAAGAATAAAGGAGAGAGAGAGAGAGAGAGAGAGAGAAAGAAAGAGAAAGAAAGAGAAAAAATGAAATGTTAGAAAAGATTTGATTTAAATCTTATAAAATTTGAAATAAAATGAATTGGGAAAAGTGAAGTGTTTAAATTCTTTCACTTCACTTAAATCATTAAATAAAGAAGGAATTAGTCATCATATCGTCGTGTAACTTTCTCTTTTCATAATTTCAGAGTGTCATCAAATATCTTTTCATTTAATCCTTTTCTCTATTTATTTATTATATGTAAATTTAAAGTATACAAAAAATTGAAATCGGAAAATTCTTTTGATTAAATTTTAATTCGAAATTCTTTGTTTCAATGAAATAAGCAAAAACTTTTTAATTAATAGCTGCCAGCTATTTTGTTTCAATGAAATAAGCAAAAACTTTTTAATTAATAGCTGCCATTATTATTAGCAAAATTTATTGAATAACTCGAACGATCCAACAATTCTAATATATTCTCCTATTTCAACATCTTTTTTTCACTGAGCTTCAAATTTCAATCATTTTCAAAATGTATTTAAAATTGGTTGAAGAAAATTTTTAAATCTTAAATTGATTGCTTTAAAGGGAATTTATCATCTTTACAGCATTAGAAAATTATTTATCAACAACCAATTTTAATTAATTTCTTTGAAAATTTTCGAGTGAAAAAATTGAATATGCAACAGTTAAAATAAATTTTCATCCATTAGAAATTTTCTCTGAGTGTCTTTTGTTTTAATTATTTTTTTATGTGTCTTTTTGTTTTAATTAATTTATTATTTTCACATAATTTCATTTTGTTTCAATTAAAATTTTAATTAGAAATCGTTTATGTTATCATTTGATCGAAAATTGGCAAAGATAAAGTTTATGATAAAAATTTAATTCAAATTATATAATTTATAAATTAATCATTTTCTTTCTCTATTCTAATTCAAATCTTTTCATTCTTTCATTATTACGTAAACGTTGCATAATTATCTTTTAAATTAATCGTAAAATAATTTTCTTCCCTCGGTAATCATATCAGGTAAACAGGTAATCATATTCCTCGGTAATCATTTGCGAATGTATTGATTGTGGAAGTGATAAGAATTAATTTGATCTTATCAGCAATCCAAGAAAGCAATATGTCATCTCTTAGTTTTCCTTTTTCTTTTCCCATCATTTTAAAGATCATTCAATGAAACTTGCAACAAATCCGATATAAGATATGAATGGAAAAAGCATCAAAGCGAGAAATTTTCCAAATAAATGACAGCCCATATTTAACTATTTATTCATTCAGTAAACAAAGAATGCAGTAATTTCTTCACTATGCAATTATTGAAATTTAATTAATAACTTGGCGCTTTTTTAGAAAAACTTTATAATTTATTTTTGATGATATTCCATAATTCGGCTAATAAATGATAGCTTAGAATAGCCATTGAAATCATCAAATAACACTGATAAGTTTGAAATTAAAATTTGAAAAAAAAAAACTTGACATTCTTCTCGCTAATTTCACAGTTATCATTTAATGATAATTTTTAATTATCAATGATCGATCATTGTAATAGCACAAATCATTGCCTTCTTTTTTTTTCATCAATATTTCGACAAAACCTCTCAACCAAATAATGCCAGCAAATATTTCATACAAGATTTTACACGAATAGAAATGATAATTTTATATTTCAATAGATCGCATTGCGAAATAATTTTATAGCCTTTTTAAATCTATAATGATAATTTGGTAGTAAAATATATAAATCAATTGCTAATTTGTAATTCATAAATTTATATTGCTTATCAAATTCTGTTATCAGTTAAATATTTGATGATGATGATAAAAAAAGGAAAAGAAAACAATTCTAATTGATTTCCTTGTATAACAAAATGCAAAAAGAAGAACGAAAATGGTTTCACCTAAATTGTCTTCCATTGTTCATAGCAACAATAACAAGTGAAAATGACCAATAGTAACCAGTAATTTCCTTTTCTTCGCTATCGTTCAAAACTCTCGACTTCTCCTATTTTTCCTATTATCATTTCATCAATTTATTTATTTATTTATTTATTTTTTCATTCACCTGAAAATGGCATATTTATAAAATTTCAAATATATATATTTATTCCTATTTAATCATTCATTATAAATTATATGTTTATTTTTGTAAACAATAACAAAAGCTTTTATATTAAAAAAAAATTTGTGAATTTTACTTTTGTTCTTTTTTCTCTCAAAAGAAAATACTATAAAATAATAAGTTATTTTAAATTAATACCATTATAATATATATATAGTAAAATTTGTTTAGATTAATACCATTTAATACTGGAAATTGTTTTAAATTAATTATCATTATATTATTTTATGGTATATAAACGATACAAAACAAAGCGCTATTCGTTTATTACGACTTTTTTGATTAGAATTACGAAATAAATATGAGGAAGAAAGTGTGATTGGATAAATAATTTTAATTTCAATTCAAAATTTCAAGTAAAATTTGTTTTCATTTCAGGTAAATAATTGACAGTCAACTTTCCGTAGACTACTTTATCATTAGGTTGTATTTATTTTCGATTCCAGCAAATAATAGCCTCCAAAAATTTTCAATGTAAATCAACTTTTTACTCTTTCAAATTTCATTCCTTTGTTAACAGCGTTCCAGCAAATGCCATAAAATCCTTTTTTAACATCAATTTAAGTACGATAGAAAAAATCTCACCGTGAAATGAACGATACATAAATTTAAATATAAAATAAAATTTAATATTTCGATTAGATAAATTATCGAAAGGAATATCTCGAAATTGTATCATTTAATTAAATATTTTACTAATATATATATCTATTCATATATAAATTATCTTATCAACGATAACATATCTTATCAGTTTATTCATTTCACAAAATTGATATAAATCTAAAATATATCAAAATTTCTTTCTTTCTTTCTTTTCTCCGAAAAGAAATAATGACAATAATAAAACTTTGAAAATTTTTTTTCTCAAAAATAACTCATTAAATTAAAAACAAAAAGAAAATTTCTACAATGAAAAAAAAAAATGACGATTTAAAAGGGACAGATGAAGAAGAGATGAAAGAGAACATACTAAAACATAGCATTATTGATTAAATTAATATAATTTAAAATTCTGAAGTTAAAATTGATTAATGATACGTAAGGCACACTAAAACATAGCATTATTGATTAAATTAATATAATTTAAAATTCTGAAATTAAAATTGATTGATGATACTTTTATAAAAGTTATCTTAATTGTAAATTGCTGTCGTATTTTTTTGAAGAAAAAGACAAATTTCATACTTGTTTATTTTCACATGAAAAAATGCTAACGAAAAATTATAACAATTATGAAATTCCGGAAATTTTCGGGAAATTCCGGAAATTTCGGAAAATTCAAGTTTTATCTTTCATTGCTTTTCTTTTCAATTTTTATTAACTTCTAACATTCAATAAAAAAAGAAAATGAATTAAAAATGAAAAGATAAGACAAAAAGATAAAATAAAATAGATAATAAATACAAAGAAATAAATGAGCAAACAACCGATTATTATATTATTTTAATTATTTAAAAATAACTGTCATAACAGTTATCTCAAAAACCGGATTACATCCGGATTACCTTTATGCATGAGCTGTTCAAAACAATAATTATGAATTTTTATTTTGCATAATATGTATAATTAAAGGTAAGTGAAATGCACAAAAAAACAAAAGGAAAAGAGACGAATGAATTAATTCAGCAATAATTACATAAAATAAAAACAAACTTCACTTTTAATTTTATTTAAAATTTAATTGGAAATAATAAATTTCAGTTTTGTTTACAGGTGATATAACTACAATTCATTTGACACAATATAACGAATGTTGTAACACAAATCGGACGAATGTTATCGATTGTGGAAGCATGCAAGACGGGTCGAATACGTGTATCAATTTGACCTGTATGTGATCTGCATGATATTAGCAGTTCAATTTTTCATCATTAAAAATTTTCAAAATATTACATTTCATGCAAATTACATCTATTAACATTTAATCCAATTAATCTCAATCAGATATTTTAATATAATTGCTATGTTGCAAATTATCCGATTAAAATAATACATGAAAATTGATTTAATACAGTTAAATTAAAGTATTAAAA